AGCAACAAGATCTTATCCACAAAAAAGGTCACAAAAGCTTCACAAAGTAGACACACAGCCTGGATGGGAGGCAGTCTCCGATGCACCCGCTCCTGTCCAGAGAGGTCAGCTTCACGGCGAACTCGGGAGATGACAGGCTCGGCCAGCTCTGGCTCATTTATGATCGGCACGTTCCCAGACAGACTTGGCTCCATTTTTACTACTCATTTTGTTTTCCAGGAACCAGACTGTTCAGCGGCTTTGGCAGCTGACGGCTATTAACTGTCACACTCCAGTAACCAGGGGATAGTTAGAGCAGCATTAAATATTTGCACTGTGCAGAGAAGCTGCACTTCATCTCGAAGCCCCCGGGCCCCACTGCACTTGAAGGAGACCCACCCGTTAGGGATGGGAAATCTGTCTGCGGCACCGGCACAACAGAACCCTTGTCCCTTTGTGCCAGTTCCATGACACCCGAGTCACCAAGGTTCACAAGCCTTTCTTTTGGCTGCTTTCTTTAGGAAGACTTTAATTGCTTCCTCTATATATGAAATTGCTGCACGTTCCCACCCCAAGGAGGACTGTCACATGTCGAAAATTGAAACACCGGAGGGTGTTTTCACTGGGGTGGGTTGTGGGATTGTTTGAAGAGCACATGTAGCCTGGGGTGGAAAATGGGTTGTGTGTAGAAAATGCACAAGAGTCAGAAACTGGCTGAAAGGGTCACGTTGTAGCTGACCCACTGTGATCATGAAGCCAGGCAACTTATCATTAAAAGGATGGGTGTACTGACTGCTAAATAAAGAATCTGGCACTAAGTAGTCCAAATTTGGAAACTGTTATACAGAGAGAAAACATGCACAATTGCTCTTGTAGCCACTGTTTGAGCCAGTTTGGTGTAGTGGTTAAGTGTGCGGACTCTAATCTGGGAGAACCGGGTTTGATTCCCCACTCCTCCACTTGCACCTGCTGATGTGACCTTGGGTCAGTCACAAGCTCTGGCACAGCTGTTCCTGAAAGAGCAGTTTCAGTCAGAGCTCTCTCAGCCACACCCACCTCACAGGGTGTGTCTGTTGTGGGGAGGGGGAAGGGAAAGGAGGTTGTAAGCCGCTCTGAGACTCCAAGTGAAGGGCCATGGGGTATAAATCCAATCTCTTCGTCGTCTTCTTCTTCTTGCAGAATTTGCTGCAGAATTTGCTGGCTCTGGACTTTCTCCCTTCCTCAGTGGAAAAAAATCTAGCTCATGCGTGGGTTAATTGTCTAAAGGGAGGTCTAGCAAAAAACAATAATTAGAAGTCTTTGTCCAGCACTTGGTATCAGCAATAAAAGGTCTACTTTTCCTCTGGGCCTAGGTGCGGCCCTGTCACAGCTGCTGCCCTACCCAAGTGTTTCCAGTGGCCGTCTTCCACATGTCCCATATGGCTTCCATGAAGGAAGTGGCACTCTCTGGGACAGAGTTCAGTGTTTCAGTGCTTTGCTCTTCGCCATCCATTTTCCCTGCCCTGCCCATCTCTGCCTTGCTGCGCACAGAGGGAACCATACCCCCCGGCTCTTAAGAAAGAAAGGTCTTCTGACGAGAAGAACAGAAGGCAAGCACTACGCAAGGCTTGATGCAGCCACCAGTTAGGGCTCAAAGTCGACCCAAGCCCATTTCTCAAAGACCCAGCCTTTGCAGGGGATTATGCAACAATGCTTAGCAAAGAAGCCTGCATCCATTTGGGGTACGGAAGTGCTCACAGCAGGCATGAGTATCCTGAGAAGTCGGAAATTACCTCTGGGAAGCAAGCAGGTGTGACGAGCCTCTCCTGGGTGCTGGTTCCCCCCACCACCACTGGTAGCCGTGGTGTCTGGCTGGGCTGTGCTGGCAGTCGGGGTGGAGTCACAAAAGGGAGCTGCGATAGGACCTCAGAACGGCAGGGAACGGGGTTAGCAGCACCCCTCAGGTCCCTCTGCCCCATGGGATGGAGATCACTCGCCCCTTTGCTCTCTCTCTCTAGCCATCGTGCGTAGTGTCTCCTTCTCACGTTCTTCCTCCCCGGTCCTCTCAAAGAGCCCCTCTTTTTATTCCCCATGCTCTCCTGCCAGCGCTGCCCATCTTCCCCATCTCCTTCCTCCCCCATCCAGCCCCGTCCTCGTTTATATGGCAGGACACTCCTCGGGCGTCTGGGGTGTGGTCAGTGGTGGGCCGGCGGCGGTCTTCTCAGCCCGGGACTGTGTCTCTGGCACCACTGGGTGCCGCAGCCGGCTTCTGTCTTCACCCAGTGGGGCCTGAGCCGCGCCCCTCAAGGGAGGGGCGCCACTGGGTTCGTTGGGCGGGCCTCGCCCTGCCGGTGGTGTACTTCTTGTTTGGGCCGAGAGTCGCCCCGTCGCACCGCGTCCTTTGTGGGGGCTGTGCCGTCGATTTTCCCCGGCTTGTCCGCCACTCCTGGGGTGAGTCGGGGTGCGGGTATGCCTCCGGGGGTGGGAGGGATCGTCCCGGGGCAGGTGAACCGGGACAGCAGGCAACTGTGAAATAAAACATGTGCCCTTTGTGGGGCACAGGCTTGTTCTTTGTTTTAACCGAGTGGCACTGGAGAGTAACGATCAGTGCCCCCAGATTAAGAGCCTCCAGTCCCTTTGATCTTTTGTACAGGCTAATGGATTGTATAATCTCCAGCACCTTGAGATAAGCCTCTTGAATTCACTGCACAGGAGCTATATTTAAACACCAGCTAGACAGGAGCAGCACAGCTCCTTGACACTCCAGATCCAGCTGCCACAGAATCACAGAATGTTAGAGTTGGAAGGGACCTTGCAGGTCATCTAGTCCAACCTCTGCGGCGTGATTCCTTTCCAGTGGCTGAGAGGGACGTCTCCTGGCACAGACTGTGCCAAGCCTCCCCACCTCTAAAGCGTCCCCCCCCCCGCAACTATCGTGTCTCTGAGTTTAACTTTCACCTTCTGTCCTGGAGCTCTGTGCCCCTTCCCACCCCAGAGGAGCTTTTATCAGGCTGTTTTAGAGAAACAAACAAGCCATAAGTGCTTTCACTTTGCAGTCTAGGAAGCCAAAACGTTAGTCCAAGAAGCTTGCTGAGCAGGAGTTCCACTGGTCAGAGGGTGGGGGGGGGCTTCATTGCCCTGCAAATATGGTTCCCAGCTCCAGGCTGCAAAATTCCTGGAGATTTTCGGGTGGAGCCTGGGGAAGGTGGGGTTTCAGGAAACAGAATGAGCTCAGTGGGGTTTAATGCCAGACAGTCCACCTTCCAAAGCATCCATTTTCTCCAGGGGAACTGAGCTCTGCAGTCTGGAGATGAGCTGTAATTCCAAAAAATCGCCAAGCCCCACCTGGAGGCTGGCAACCCTACCTGCAAAGCCCCCCCCATATAATTAGTCAAAGCAGAATTATTCAAGATTGGGAATCAATCATGCAAAGAGAAAGTAAGTGTATGTGGACTCGCTTAAAGAACTGGAGAGACTGGCTGGCCTGATGTCACCCAGTGAGCGACAACGCCCACACTGAATTATCCCCGTGTCTGGCAACCTATGGGTTGGGCCCCCAAATTAGGCCGTGAAGCGCCTGCAAGTGCGGTGTGTCTCCTGTATCTGTGACCTCACCCCACCCCCACCCCCCGCACACCTCTTCAAACTCTGGGTCTGGCCCAGCAGGGGGAGGAGGAGGAGAGGAACGCCCGCTTGCTTGGGGTTCATAGTAGGACAGCTGTATCTTTTGTGAGATGTTTGTTGGCTTCTCAAAAACGTCGGGCTGGGCACTGTAGAAAACAGAACACTGGAACAGATGGGCACCAAGGTCATAGTTTGCCTTCGGCACACACACACACACACAAAACAACACACACACAAAAAGCCCTGGAAGGGTCACCATGAAAAGTAAATTCAGACTTGTCGGTTATCGTACCAAAAAGGTTGAGGACCACGGATATAACTCAACTGGAGGACCCAGTCAAAGGGTCCTTATTCTAGAATAGTGAGATTAAACCCTCTCAAGGATCCAGTCAAACGGCCCCTTCAGGTGCTTTCGATTGTGTCCCACTGATCCCTTGTCCTTCAGGGGGGAAGGCACAAAAAGGAAAAGCCAGAGAACTCCGGTATCACAATTGTTTTATTTATCAGTATCAAATTACATAGCAAAGTAAATGAACGGCATTTTCAGAATGCCTCCCTTGAATACTGTAATACAAATAAAATTCAGAAGATTTTCTTACTCATACAATGTACTCTGTTGTCTTAAACTGTGCGTTGAAGTCAAAGATTCCATTTTGGCTTATCCTGTTAAGATCACCCGCATTATTATTTCTGTACTTCATTTTCACAAGCATATATCCTTTTAGATGCAACCCTCAAGTCCTCCAAGACAAGAAAAAAGTTTCCTATTCTGGGCACTGCTTGAAACCCCTAAATACCCTGTTTCTGCCCTGCAGGAACAGAGACCACAGAGCTCTGTCCTGACAGAGGCACACAGAGAGGCCTGATCCAACATTTCGTAAAGCCAATGTGATGGCTTCCAGCCACAGGGCCTCAGATGGGCCTCATGGGCAAATTCCTATTTACTGCAATGGAAGAAGGACCGAGACCACCGTGTGTGTGTGAACGTAGAATAGTGGGAGGGGAAAAAAACAGATACAAATTCTCCTCAAAAACGTCACCAGTTTGAAAACTGGTGGAACATCAGTCAAATCAAATTATGCCAATTGGACTTAATTATTTCTCACCTGGATTACACAAGCAAAACTGAATATACTACAGAAGTATAGCTAGACCAGAGCTGGGATAGCTTCATATTGTGCTACTCCTGGGAATGGTGCTGGGACGAGGGGGGGGGGGGATTCTAAGTACCAGGGTTGATGAATGGAGCTTTGCTGGGTGGTGCGACCTCTAATTTAACACATGCAAGTCACTTTTGTGTCAGGGAGAAGAAAAGGGCTGTCAGAACAGGGATAAACTTGAACAGAAGTACAGAAGCCTCAAGGCTGGGCCACTGGGGAGGGGGATGAGGAGGAGGAGGCAGAGACCCCTTCTCGATCCCTCGGGTGGCCCAACGTCAGTGGAAGTCAGGCTTCTCTGGGAAGGTGCAGCCGGAACGCTTGATGATCACACTGGCGGCGTAGTGTCCAGCACGGATGCACTCCGTCAGCGGCCGATCGTACACGAGCTGCGAGAGGAAACCTGGAGGGGTGAGAGGGAAGGAGAGCGTTACAGTTGAGAACACCAAAAGACACCTGGGAACACGCCTGACCGATTCTTTCTCCTAGGGTGCCGACCGAAAAAGGGGGCACCCTGCCCCTTGGCCAATGGGGAGCGATGTCAGTAGTAGTGACATACACTTCAAGCCAGTGGTGCCTCCTCTGCTTCTGGGCATTCCCAACGGAAACGGCTACTTATCACCTCCAAGAGAGCAACTTCATAGCTGCCCTCTGTCGGCCTCTGACGTGCTTTTGTGCTGTGAACTGTGCCGTCAATAACCACCCCCCAGACAAGCAAGGTGCTCCGTCCTCAATCATTTTAAAACAGTGCAAGAGGCTTCTGTGGTCAAATAAATAAAATAACTGTAACAGGAAAGTTTGTTTCTTAAAAATTCAACATTGTCAAGTCCACAAAGGGAACACTGGACTGAAAGCGAAACTCAAGAGAGAACATGGCGGGAAAGCAGTCATCAGATTGAAGATGCCAGGTGTGCCTCTGTGTGTGTGTGTGTGTGTTTGTGTGTGGTGTGTGTGTGTGGAAGGGTCTCAGTCTAGCTTTCCAAAGCTCCCAGTGGTGGTGGTTTTGGAGCTGAAATTCGGCAGCTGACAATAGCCAGACGAGAGCCCCAATTGAAAATGGCACCATGTAGACATTTCAACCAGTACATCAATATTGGATACCTCCCACCAGGGTTCTCAAAGTCAGGCCACAATTAATGGTCCTAAGCACCTTTTGAGACTCTTCAGAATAAACTTTTTAAAAGACAGAAGAGGAGAGATGACAGATAACCAGATCAGCTCCTTTGAACAAGGTCTCTGTCAGCATTTGTGTGTCTGGCAAAACTTGATATATAAGAACAAACCCAAAAAAGCGACACAGGCCTGCATCTTTTAAAGTGAAATCTGTCCCCCCCCCCCTCGTGTCTTTACAGCCAACCATCACTACTAACCAGGGCAAATTTTAGTCTGACAAAGTTGAGTCCCATCAGAAAATGTCAGTGGCAACTCCATCTCATTCTCCTCAAAAGCGTGCTCCAAAAGCTTCTTTTGCCAGATGAGGAGTGGCCTCATCCTGTTACTCCTGGAGCTGCTCTCTAAAGCTAGAGCTGGGCAGAGTCTTGGATAGATCACAGCAGAGCCTTTTCCCCAGCGAAAGGCAGCACGGAATATATGAACTGCAAAGAGTGGCAGAAGCTCACAAAAGAGTGGGGGTTGGATCTAAAATTTCTGTGCATTGGAGGATTTATGTTGTCATGATCTGGGCTGTGCTACCAGAGGCCTACTAGGCCCAGAGAGCCTGGCTATCAGTAGATGAGGCTGGGCCTACAATTCCCAGAAGCCCCACGGAGGTTTTGGAGCCAAAATGGACCAATAGGAAAAGAGGAGAGCTGGGAATAAAAGTTCTGGAGTGGCAGGAAGAGCTGTTCTTTCTTCCAGAGGGCAGAGCCAGAAAGAAGGCTGCTGCAGGGGAAAAACCCTCATCCTGAGGGAGGGGTGAGTAGAGTAAGGCCACTTGAGATAGTGAGCTAGGGAAAGTAAATTTAGATGCGTTAGGGTATTTGATTTCTTTTCTTTTCACCCACTTACTGTTATTATTCTGCACCTTGTTGTTTAACCTCCTATAAAATAAACCTTTTCCTTGTTTTACTCTGCCTGGTCCTCACGCCTGTTATTCGGCCTAAAGGGAGGTCTTGGGAGGGTGCTCTGGGCCTTCTCAAGGGAACCTAAATCCAGAGTGGTGGCAGCGTCAGGTGACCCCCCACCTGAGCCGTGACATGGTGGCAGCGGTGGGATGAACTAATTTTGGACCCTGGTGAGGCAGAGTGCCATTTGGCCTTGGCAGAGAGAATTATTTTTTTTTTGCTTTTGGGCTTAAGGAAGCCCCATTGTTTGAAGGTGCCTGTAAGACCAAGTAAGGGTCTGGTAAGGTGTGGTGAAAAGCTGACATGGTCCCTCTGTGTCTACGTGGAGGGAAGTTTCGAGTGGAGTGCTGCAGGGCTCGGTCCTAGGCCCGATGTTGTTCAATGTTTTTATAAATGACCTGGAGGAAGACATAAAGGGGATGCTTATCAAATTAGCAGATGACACCAAGTTAGGTGGGATTGCTAATTCTGAAGAAGATGGAGTCAGGCTGGAACAGTGGGCTGAGACAAATAAAATGAATTTCAATAGAGATAAATGCAAAGTCCTACACTTAGGTACAAAAAATCAAAGTCATAATTATAGAATGGGAGGGACTTGGCTGGTAGTTCCGCTCTATCACCTCCTCGGAGGTGGTAGTTCCGCTCTATTCTGCTATGGTCAGGCCTCACCTGGAGTACTGTGTCCAGTTTTGGGCACCACATTTTAGGAAGGATGTTGACAAGCTCGAGCATGTCCAGAAGAGGGGAACCAGGATGGTGAGAAGGTTGGAATCCAAGTCTTACGAGGAAAGGCTGAAAGAGTTGGGTATGTTTAGCCTGGGAAAGAGAAGGCTTAGAGGGGACATGATTGCAGTCTTCAAGTATTTGAAGGGCTGTCATGTAGAAGATGGAGCGGATCTATTCTCTCTTGCTCCGGATTGCAAGACTAGGTCTAATGGGTGGAAATTACAAGGGAGTCGTTACCGGCTAAATATCAGGAGAAACTGGTTGAGCAGTGGAACAGTCTGCCTCGGGAGGTGGTGGATGCTCCTTCGCTGGACGTTTTCAAGTGGAGGCCGGACAACCATCTTTCGGGTATGTTGTAGGGCTATCTTTTGGCTATGCCCCTGCAGAGTGCAGGGGGTTGGACTAGATGACCTGTAAGGTCCCTTCCAACTCTAACATTCTATGATTCTATGAAAAACAAAAGGAAGGAAAGAAGACAGAAATAAAGAAAGAAAAGACAGGAAGGAAGGCAGGCAGCCAGACAGGCATCCCTTCCCTCTCTCTTAGTTTTTTTTTTGGGGGGGGGGGGCTTGGTTTTTTTGGGGTTTTTTTGTTTGGGGGGGAGTGAAAGGGTGCCCTGAAATGCCTACCCGAGCAGCTGACGGTCAGATTGCAGGTCAGCTGTTAGCAGTATAGACCACAATCCCAACTCATTTCTCCACGGAACTCTATAAACCATTTTCTACTGTGGAACTCTGTTGCTTGTGTAGAAAAGCCCTCTTCAATAATTCAGTTTTGCATCATTTGCAGGGATGTACTAAAAGGAAGGACAGGATTGCCCACTGGAAACAATGGGAAACATTTGGAAGGCCTATTGGAAATACTGGGAGCGAGGAATGCCAATTGACTTGCATGGGCTCCATTGAAACACATTACAGTACAAGTTGAGTAGCAATAAAAACACGGAATGGATTTTCCATTAAGGTCTCTGGGCAAAAATAAACCACTCAGGGAATACGATGAGAGACCACAGAGTGGAATGACAGCCCCAGGGTGTAGCAGGAGTGTTCAACAACAGAGCGCAAACCAACCCACCTTTGCCAAGAGCGCATGGCTATGGCTGGCAGCTCTCCCTCCCTTTCTCCCTGGGGAGGAGTCTCCCAATCCCCCCCGGCCCCAGCTAAGCTTTCTGCCCCACAAGGCAAGGGCCCGCCGCCCACCACAGCAGCCCAAGTGGAAAAACTGCATGAGCATGCCCAAACCTTACCCTCCGCCGGCTGGGCGAGCTTCGAGGAACCATGTGCAACTCTCTGTGAGGCCAGGCGGCTGCCTCTGAGGCTCAGAGGGATCGGGATGCGGGCAGCTGCAGTGGCGACAATGTGCCCGCAGCCCACCACACAACCACCAGAGCAAGGGAAGTGAGGGGGCTGCTAGGAGCTGGGTGTGCCGTGCCCTTAGGAAGCTGCTGGGGCAGGGCCCACTCCTCCTCCAGCCAGTGGAGACCTGACCTGCGCGACTGGGCTGGAGGCAGCTGGAGGGGGGAGGGGGAGGGAAATCAACTTGCACCGGCTGGCGCACAGCACATACAAGAGGGAAGGGAACTGACGCTCTAGCCCTCATCTCTATGGCTTTCACAGCCATAGAGACTTGGAGGACTTAAATGCTAGAGCGTCACTTTTCCGTCCGCCATTTTGTCTCCTAGGACCCAATTTTTAAAAAGCGGGTAGGGGTTTTTTTTAAGCGGGGGTTCCCTGCTGAGGCAAGCCTACCTGGTGCCCACCTCCATACCCCCACAACCCAGGTACAGGACCTCTGTCTTCGATGGATTTAACTTCAGTCGACTCTGCCGCAACCATCCAGCCACAGCATCCAATGCCTCAGCCAGATTTCCAGGAACAGAGGACGGGTGACCGTCCATGAACAGATAGAGCTGAGTGTCATCAGCATACTAATGGCAACCCAGCCCACAGCTCCGGACTAACTGGGTGAGGACCAGTGTTCCCTCTAAGCTGAGTTAGTGTGAGCTAGCTCACCATTTTTCAGCCTCCGGCTCACAGATTTTTGTCTCTGCTCCGGAAGGCTGGCTCCAGAGCAAACTAATTTATGCAGTAGCCAAATCACTCGCTCACAGCTTTTATGCCAGTAGCTCACAAAGTAGAATTTTTGCTCACAAGCCTCCACAGCTTAGAGGGAACATTGGTGAGGACTCTCAGAGTCCCTGGAGAAATCAGTTCCTGTGGAGAAATTGGTGGGGGCTGGATAGGAGGGGACCCTAAAACTGGGGGCAGGCCTGGGCCCAGCCTCCCCCCCCTTCCTCTCCTGTCTCCAGCCAGTTGTCTGAAGGCAGCGCCCGAGAGAGGGCAGGGTGGGGAGGAGGTCTGCCCCCGAAGGCTGCGGGAGGGAGGGGGCAGGAAGCGGCTGTTTTAGTTAGTGGGGCTTTTGGGTGGGGGAAGCCAGTTAGTTCAGTCAGCAGTCAGAAGTCTGGAGCCAGCCAGGCTGTTTGGTGGGAGCCTGCAGGAGGGAGAGCCCCTGTCGGGAGACCTGCTGGTCTAACCTTCTCCAGTGGAGTGAAGTGACGTGCCCACCCTGCAGGCCATCCAGACAGGGCCTGAGTGTAGAGAAGGGAGAGATGGAG